TGGATAGAAGATCAACTACAGGATATTGTACTTGTCTTGGAGGTAACCTAGTGACATGGAGGAGCAAGAAGCAGAATGTAGTGGCAATGTCATCTGCAGACTCAGAGTTCAAGGCTATTGCTCAAGGATTATGTGAATTACTGTGGCTGAGAATCATTTTGGATGATTTGAGAATCCAATGGGAGGGTTCTATGAAGCTCTACTGTGACAACAAGCCAGCTATTAATATAGCTCATAATCCTATACAACATGATAGGATAAAGCATATTGAAATTGATAGACATTTCATCAAAGAAAAACTGGAGGAAGGGTTAGTTTGTATGTCTTATGTTCCATCAGAAAGACAAGTAGCCGATGTTCTAACAAAGGGACTGAATAGTTCAAGTTTCCATGATCTTGTATCCAAGCTGCGAATGAAAGACATCTATTCCTCAGCTTGAGGGGGAGTGACGAGATGTGTCTGAGATGGAAATAAGGCTGGGAGAATTAATTCTAATTCCCTTAATTAAGGGAATTAAAATTAATTGGTAATCCCTTAAATTAAGGGAATTAGAATTAATTTGTAATCCCTTAAATTAAGAGAATTGGTGAAATAGTTTCCTACTTTTTTCTACTTGTAATCTCCTATATAATACCTTGTATTATCAATTCAAAGAAGTAAGTGAAATACAAAATTATTTCTATGATTTCCCACATAAACACACATAGGCTTGTACTATCATAAAAATTAATAAAGATGTAGTTCTTCACAATCCTTTCTCTTCTAATAACACGCTATCAATAATCTTTGTTGACGATCTTAATTGATACTTCTATTGATACTTCCTATTAACATCTCCATTTACAAACCTAAAATATGTTCTATCAAACACAGATCTCATTACCAATTATTGCCATTGGATTCATATTATACTCTCTTTTACGGATTAGTTATACTCCTAGTGACACACTCTTAACCTTTAAGCAACCAAATTTTCAACTACTTCATCTCTAGTGGTTTTCAAACTCAAGTAGACAGCTCTAAAGTACCTTTAGTTTGTGAGGGAGTATTTTCATGTCTAAATTATCACATTTATCACCATATTTTCAGCAGAAATATGCAGTATTTGATGTTGAAGTATTTCCATACTACTTAGAGCATTCTCCTTTATTGTATTTTCCTTAACTGTTCCCTTCTCTTGCTACATACAAACACATTCTTTTACCATGAAAAAAAAAAAAGATGTGATCATTTCTAATTCTCTTCCTTAAAATAGAGATAAAAATGATTAATTTTATGCTCAAAATTATAAGGCAATGCCCTTCAATAGTGGTGGAGGTAAACTAACATGTTTTCTGAATATAAAATGCAAGTTGCATGACAAAATGGAAATAGATCATAACAGATATCAAATAGATCCTTGAGAGTAAGATCATGAATACAAGAAGCACATTGTGCGAATTTTATGTTAAGTACAGATATTTGACATGAATTTATATAATACTATAGTAGTCAACCTATATGATGCCATTATTTTCAAGTTCTCTTGTACCAAGCGTGATTCCTGTATAGTGTGTGATTCTTCAATTGCATCTAGCTCCAATTTGCATCCAATCCTTACACCGCATCATGTTAATATAATTTTCTAGTTCTTAGTTGACTATATGTTCCTGTGTTTAATGGCCTTTGTTTCCTTCACTTGTAACAAAATTTGAGCTTCATGGAAGATTAGATTTATTTTAAGTTGAATCAACAAAAGAAATTAAACAATGAAAAATAGCTGCCTGACGCATGTAATTTGAGAGAGCTTTTAATTCAATAAAATTTCTGATTTCGATTTGAATTTTGGGTAGTAATTTAGAATGCTTGGTAACACATTCTAGCTAAGAGAATCTTTACTTTCAGACATTTTACCTTCCAATATAAAAGTGACATGATGTTTTAAACCAAAAAATAATATTTATCGTCCATCAGTAACAAGTTAAAGCACTCCGCCTGTTCCTCAGAAAGTCACAGTTACACATTTACCCAAACCATGAGAGAAAATGAAGATACAGAAAGAAAACAACAAAATACTGGCAAGTAGTGCGATAAGATATAATTCTGACAACATACCACATTGTGTAGCTTTCATGATCGCTTTTGTAAGAAATGGAACAGTAGAACACATGGCTGATACTACCTGCATATGCAATTACGTGTTAATGTGCAGTAAAAGTGCAGGATATAATATTCAGATTTATACTTAGTTTGATTCACTAATAATATAATTCGAAGCAAATCCTAATGAACAGTATGAGCAAAAGAAAACTCACCAAAGGTGGAGTAGCTTGTAATGAAGGAAAATGCAATTTAGGAATAATTAGGGAGTGTCTGCAGAAACAAAAGAAGTTAAAACAATCGAATAAAATGAATTATAATAAAAAATAAAAATATATTCCATATGTTGTCATCAAGAAAATAATTATGAGCCATGCATAAACTATGTTATGCTAACTCAAACTCATAAATTTTAATATTTCATCACACTAGTTCATATTATATTATGCTAATAATAATGCAAAAATCATTCAACAGCTTCAACAGTATAAGAAACAATCAAAATGAATAAAAATCAAACACTGAAAATGTTAGTCCTATGATAAAACTACTTGCCACTTAAGAAAACATACATTTCTTATGTTTCCGGTATCAAAAGGCCAAACAAATCAAACCGCAGCAAACTAGTATAACTATTAGAGGTTGCATAAGTTACATTCATGGAATCAAAGATAGATGAGTTTGAAATTGAACGAGTGATCCATTTTTCTTATGAGAATTCCTTTAGAGAAACTTTACATGTTTGTTGCTCCAAAAGTTTAAGTACCTTACCCAAAACTTAGTGGGTTGGAATCCAAAATGCATATACAAACATCATCTTCATAAAGCTGCAGATAGAAGAAAAAAGAAAGGAATCAATACTCAAAGAAAGGAACTAATAAGCTAAGGACTAAAGTTTCATTAAGAAACTTCAAACTACTACTGGCTTATGGAAAAAGAGAAAAAAAATATATATGCTATTAAAAGCACGTTTTAGAAGCCAAATGAAGTGATGTGTTAGCCCTATGCATTGTTTGCCAGCGAATTAAAATCACTACAAAGTGCATGCATCATGTCATTCTTCTGTGTCATATTATAGCTTTGGAAACTCAACTCTAACTCTTAGAAAAATTTAGCACAAATTTTGTGGCTTGATTCTACATCTACCACATTAACTAGAGTATAAATGCTTAGCTCTCCTCTCTAATTTTCAAATTCATTGAGTCGTTATTCATTGATTCTCTATTCGTTCTCACTAAAGCTAGATGCTTTTTGGTCAGTCGAGTTTCATATTACATTTTTTGTTGAGTGTCACTATTGGGACTTGAGACATCACTCTCATAAGTTTTTCCTAGATAGCGATTTTCGATGTATCCTCTACAAACTTCGCAATGCAGAATATCTTCACTCTTTCATGTTTCACTCCACCTCTGCCTCCGAATCGCTTGTCAATCACTTCTGTATTTCCAATTTTTAAATATTCTTTCGTCACATAATTCTTAGTATCTTTGAACATTTTTTAGCTTTAAAAAATTATAAATTATTATTATTGAATATACCAGGATATTGTTAAAATTTTAACTTGATTTGGTTTGAGTTTGGTTATTGTGTGTGCATAATGTGTACATATATGATGTACAATTCAAGGGTGCTCTAATTAGTAAAAGCACCACTTTACTTCACTTCTTATAAGTAAACAAAATAAACTTTTGTGCATCATATTACACTTCGCATTTAGAACCCACTGAAAAAACAAGGCATATTTGCTGAAAACTAAGTAGAAATGTACATGTTCCTGTTAAAAACAGTTCCACTAAAAATAGAAGAAAGGCACAAAAGGAAAGAGGGAGCATCATGAAAATATGAAATTGACAGAAATAAAAAAAAAAACATTAAAAGTTCTGCTCTAGCAAACCAGAACGGCAAAAAATTAAAGTATATCATGAAATCACTGAAAGCTCAAACCACAATTCATGCTATCAAATATACATGTTTAATGCAATAATGGTTAACATTCTAGTTCTCATAGCCTTTCTTCACCATTTTACCTATCATTAGATAAAAAATTAAGCCAACCTTTTTGTGGCGATCTCCTCAAGTTCTTGATGTAGAGACAATACTTCAGCTTAAGGCTCACTTGGTTGCTTAAAGTTAAGAAAACAAAAAATGCTTTGAAAATCTACGAATCTTTTAGGGGGATCTATATATTTACCATGCAATTCTTGTGCATTTATATATCTAATACCCAAACTAAGATATTTACTAATGTGGCATTTTATACGTCATAATCACATCAAAACATATGCATAGAAAAGGTGTATTTCATTTTTAGAAAGTTCAATAATAGTAATATGTTTGATGTCATGTTATGGATTTAAAAATTATATTAGTAAATATCTAAGTTAGATGTTAGATATGCAAAAACAAAAGAATTGAAGGATATGTATGCAAATCTCCCAATTTTTAAATTTATCATTTAGTTGACTGCGGATAGTTAGAAGCCAAGATTACTTTCATACTTCATACACCTTCCCGAAAACTCATTCAAAATATAATGATTTCATTTTCAAAAAAACTAAAGCGTGAAAATAAACTAATTAGTTTCTAAAACATATTCTCCATCCACAAGAAACAAAATGAGCCCTTAATGTACTCAATACTTTAGCCAATTTTCTTTGGTGGATACCGGCGGACTTAAAATGAAAGCAAAACACACCATAGCTTGATGATGTAGAGAGATTTGTGGATCAACATATAAGCACCTACTTTGTAAAAGGTGGATCAAAAGAAAAGTCTATTTGCCTCCATTGTGACCTAGTGCTCGCAAATTTGAATAAGATAAACAAGGAAAATTTAAATACATACCACATAATCCTTATGTATTTACATATCCAACACTCAAACTTTGATATTTACACTTGCAACACCTTTTTGTCATTAACTTATGAATGAAAAGGTGTATTTCGCTTTTAAAAATTTGAGTGGTATGCATGTAAACATGAATATTTAAGTTTTAGGTACTTAAACACATGAGAATTGTGTCGTATGTGTGTAAATGCCCCAATAAACTATCTCAAATGAATGTGCCAACTATGAATAAATCAACCCCTTGTACTTAGAGTGCATTAAGCTCCATGCAATGTGTCAACACGTCTCTATTACTATATTTATGTTTTACACCAACTCTCTCAAGTCCCACAAATTATCCCATTCCGCACAGCACAACTAACATTATCAGCAAATAAAAATTGCAAAGTAGATAGGTTTGCTCATAACTTTCTTCAACCTTTAGGCAGAGCAAATCCTTTCAAGCATTAGAACCACACCGAGCTCCAACGCATAAAATCTCTAAATAACATATCCATAATTTAGATTCTACTGAAACTAAAAACTTGAATTAAAAGCTTATCCTTTTCGACTATAAACATAAAACAGACAACAAATCCCAACTCATTCAGCACGAAACCCATCAATACATACCAAAGTGCTGCGAAATTTGAAAAACATAATCAAAGATCAATCGAACAATGGCGAGATAACTAACTTTGAAGGCGGGCGACTCGCCCCGAACAATCAAACAAAATACGCAGCTTTCCTTATCGTTGCCACCTTCAGGGCTCCGGCCGCCGAGGCCGCCTCCGGCGGCATGGCTGGCGGGCGGTGGCTGCCGGACGTCGACAGCACCGAGTTCAAAGAGCACAACGTCGGCTGCTGCTCAGGTGAGCAGAGATGGGAACAGAGGACGGCAAGCCGCCGTCGTTCCATTTCTGGCCTAAAAGTACGAACTTTTGGACAAATTAAGGGAAAAAAAAAGGACTTTTTGGGGGTGTTTTCTGCTGGGAAGTGGGATTAGGGGGCCTGAAAAATAGGTTTTTTCAGAATTATTAATCTGGTAGAGTTCTTCAATAAACGCGAATTAGGAAAGCCATCAACTTCGCGGTTCGGATAAGCGCCGCATCGCTGGAATGTGTGAATGTTTCCCAGTGAGGATTGTGGCCATTGCGTTTTCAAAAGTGTAATTTTTAGAAATTATGTGAAAAATAAATTTGTGGTGAGCATGTATTACCGTAAAATTACTGAATTTATATTTAAACATGTTATAATTGAGCTCTTTTTTAAACTAAAAATATGATTTTTTTTTTGTTATAACTCTAATGTGCCATAATAATTGTGGACATAAAATTATTCAAATCAAAGGGATAATTATATAGATAACACCCGAAATATTACTATTTACAAAATCTACCGCTCCGTTGATATTTCGAAGTAATGAATTTGATATTTCATTCAGAATTTTCAAAATGAATGAAAGAGGGGGTTTGTTTAGTAAATAGCAATGTTTCGGTTGCTATATTTGTAAAAAAAATCAAATTTTAGAATTGGATAAACAATCTATGAATGTATAATATATCAATGATATACAATGTAAAAATTGAAGTTAATGTGTTGGATATGTAAATACATAGGAACATTGAGGGATATGTAAGTAAATATGCCAAACATAAAATGTTACTAGTTGAAATTATTTATATTACTATATTAAAAATATTATGCACTTTCATCAATATATGATTTTAATTTTAAATTTGTTTTTCAAAATAAACCCAAGTTTTCATATTTATAAAACATTAATGAATTTGAGGATTGAACGAAATTATAAGTACTGTAATTCAAAGCATGAAATTACATTTGTGAATGTCTTCTAAGTATATGGTGTATGTATGAAATATACAAAGAGGCATGAGGATTTTAAGAGTTTACTTTGATTTTAGATATTAAAGATAACTTTTTTCATAATTCATAATTTCTAAGTTGTATTGTATTTAAGCCATGAGTCTATATACACTAATGTGATGTTTTTAAACTTTGTCACTCTTTCATGAGCATATGGTATTTGGTTGGATGCAAAACAAATGTGATGTTTTTTTTTTTTTTTGGTTGTTGATGATGCATTTAGGAATAAATGTATTTTAGAATTAAAGTGGGAGGGCAGTGGCAACAAGCAGGTGACTAACAATAACAGTTGATGGAGATTGGTGATAAGTTGGGGTAGATAATGGTGAATGGTGGCAGCGATGAATGGTGAGGGTTGATAACATGAAAGAGTGACAAAGGTTGTTGAAGGACGATTAGTGATGGCAGTAACGATGGATAGCAACTATAGATAGGGAAGGTGATGCAATGCCTTTTAAAATCATCCCAAATTATAAAATTTGGAATACATAAAAATGAAATGGCAAATTACAAATGTATAAATAAATTACTTTAAATTCATTTTTCATCCAATTAGACACAAGTTATAAACATTTCAATCATAAAATTCAAATAATATCCTTAGAATCCAGTACCGGTCCTATACACACAAAATGCATACAAACTCTAGTCATAAATGTAAGATTTAATAAAATTATCTTACTAAAAATATATTAGAACTAAGTTTTAATTTGAAACTAAAAAAAATTATATCATCAATATGAAATTATTTGATTGCATGCCCTTGAAGATTCAACAAATAAGAATAAAGACATGTGCAAACAAGAATGATGCACAACAACAACCAAGACAAACAATAAGTAAGAAATAATGACAACCACATTACATTTTAGACTACCTTTATTGTCTGTAAACATATAGGCATTGTTCATATCAAAATGAATGGAGTTCATTTCATACAATTAAGATTTACTTAGAAGTATGCTATTTATATTCATAGACATTTTATAGCATCAAATATCATCTTCAAAACTTTTTAACTTAATTGACACTGAACAATTAGTGTTAACATGGAAATAAGTATAGTATAGAAGAAAAGTAATAGGAAGTTCAGCACACATAGCACTCCATTCTTTTGTATTTACATATCTAAGACCTAAACTTCATTACATGCCACATTTACTATGCATGAAATGGTGTATTTCACTTCTTTAAAGTTAAAATAATGCCATTTTTATGTGATATGAAAGATTTGGATAGTATAAATGTGATAATTAAATCATAGTTGCTATATATGTAAATACATAAGAATTGGTTGGTATGTAAGCAAATATGTATGCAAATTTCCATTTTATTTTGTCAATCAATTGCCAAACGCACCAAATCATCTTTACTAGCATGCCTTATTGATGTGCTTATGTATGCCTTAGTTCATTTACCAATTTATTCATAGGCATATGAAACCTATCATACACTAGATTTCAATGACAATTTACTGACTTGTAAAAAATATAAAGCACACTTTTTTCAAGCATAGGTAAAGTGATGTAGATATAAAAATTTATGTTTAGGGGGTTCGATATGTAAATACATAAGAATTGTGAGGCATGCATGTAAAGTAAAAACACAGGATCAAATGGTCAATAAGAAGCAATGAACTCTCCTGTTTATAACTTCACATATTACTTCTCACAAATAGTCCCCCATCAAATACACACTATACTTGTTATTAACAAGTAACAAGCAATGAACAATCCCTAATTCTTGACCCAGATTGCAAGACTCTTCTCAGATCCCATCTCTCCTAACTATAACCCCAATCATACATTGAGCACAAACAGCTCCTCATCAACGGACAACAAAGCCCATAACACGCGCCAAAAGACGGTCGGCGGAGCCTACAAGGAATCTGTTCCTACTGCAAGAACTCTCTCGGGTCCGTTACAAAGCCAGTCAATGCTGATGCAGCCGCCGTATACGGCGAAGCAAGATAAATTTGACCTTCTTTGTGCCCCATTCTACCAGGAAAATTCCGGTTCGTGGTCGACACGCAAACCTGCATCAGAGTAAAAGTAGTTCACAACTTCGTTCATGTTCGATATTGTTACAATGTTTTTTTTTTAATTGTGTTCCGCTCAATAATAGCTTGATTATATTTACATATAGATACACATAGTAGTATATTCATATTTAAGAAAAATGTCAAAATAGTCTCCACTCTTTACAGATGACCATTTTCATCTCATGGTATATAAAAATGTCAATTTAGTCCCCGGAGTATATTAATATAGGTTGAAATAGTCGCAACGGACGAATATGCACCAATTTTAAACAATCAAGGAACTATTTTAGCACTTTTATAGACTCCAGAATTAAAACGGCCTTATGTAAACGGTCGGGAATATTTTGACACTTTACCTTTTAATATTCATATAAATATAACAAGGATAAATGTCTAATGATTCAGCGAAAAAAATAGGGGTAGTTGAGCTTGCCTGAGGTTCGTTCATGCGAGCATAGGTATCTCGAGGGCCACCCAAACAAGCACCACAGCTAGGACTTGTGGGAGTATCACAGCCAGCTTCTTCAAAGATCTGGGAGCAGGTCTTCCCTCCAGATCCTGGAACTGGGAGGCCATACAGATCCATCCAGACCTTCAAAAATTTTTAAGAAACTCGAGATTGAGATAGTTGGCTCCACTATTTTAAAAAATTAATCTCTCTCTCTCTCTCTCTCTCTCTCTCACACACACACACACACACATAATACCTTCTGAGTGGCTGGAACAAGAAATGTAGGGGCTTTGACCTTCTTTCCCTGCGAGTAAGGAATATGTGTTACTGACTAATGCAGAAGGTTAGATATCTGTAGGAAATCTATATGTTTTATATGAAGATATGTGATTCAATTAGATTTGCTGTAACAAAAATTTGCACAAAATAAAACTAGCATCTCAGGTACCAAAAGGGTAATTTACAAAACCGACCTTAAATATTTAAAAATTAAATGCCTAAGAAAACATAAGCATTTGGCTAGATCAAACCAAGAATTCTCTGAAAAAGCAGCATGAACCGCAACCACATCAAGAATAAGAAAACAATCTTAACATTGAAGCATTGGGAAAAAGAAAAGCAACAGAAAGATTACAGTTTGAAATAAAGTAATATTTAAGCATCCACAATGAAATTGGAAATAGAAATGATTGACACCTTGCAGCGCATGTGTTTGCTGAAGAGGGATTTTTAATAGTTATGTGAAACTCCTTGTATTCTATGAGCACCCAAAATTTTTTGAGTCAAATTTTTAGAAGTTGGATTGGACTATTAATAAAATATAACGCATAGATTTCTTACAAATTTGTTAGAGGTCTATAACATATGTTTCCTATTTTCCCAAAAGCGCAAGCCCTTATGCTTACTTATCTCCCTCAATAACGAGGAACTTTTGATTAAGGCCAATCATGAGTTGCCAAGTACCAAGCATACTGTTGCAAAAATTTTGACTTAAGGATAAAAAGAATATTGCCTTCTGAATAAAATGGGTGGGGTGAATGTTGAATAACCCAATGATGCAAGCGTCTGAGGTGAGATTCTACAGATGCAGGGCGTCAATTGTGTCCCCGATCGGGACTGAACTGTTCCGAGCTTTGGGAGAGCCGACAGCCCTCCAAGCCAGAGAGCTGCAACCAATTGGAGTGGGGCCACTCTAGTTATATACAACTTATATATTTTTCCTGCCTTGTTTAGGTTTTCAATTTTTGTGTGTTTGCATCGGGACAGTCGTCTGCATCTCACTTTTCCCTTTCTGGGTGTATCCAAAGGTTTGAATGGTGCTCTGGCTGTATTTCACTTCTGATGTGGTGATGATTATCCTTCCTCTACCCTTCCCAATCCTTCCCACATCGCTCCCTCCCTCCTTCCGTTGCTGCCGCCGCCTAGAACAGCAGTTCTTTGCTGTTTTCCAGCAGTTTGCTGCAGTCCAGGCGCTTGTCCTCGTTACCGTCACCACAGACAGCCATCCTTTTGTTGTCCTGCAATCCACCACATCCCTCTTTCGCTGCTGCCATCATCCTCCCCTGCTACAACCGCCCCTAACCGTAACTCCCTACTGCTTTCCCGCAGCCCAGCAACCTTTCCTTACTGCCATCGCCCATGACAGCCACCTTGTTATTCCTTCAGTTCACCGTCACCCCCTTGTTGCCGCCCCACTTTCCAACCTGTCTTGCCAACACAGCTCCACCCAGGATCTACCCAATTTCTCTTTGTGTGTCGTTTGTTACAAATTCAAATTTCCATTTGTTTTGTTGTAATTTCCTATTTGAAGTTGGTAATAATATTTGTTTTCAATTATTATTTGATTAAACTATAAAAGCAGGTATCTGAAGCAATAATGTAAATCTTTATTTAATAAAATATCAATTTAATACATATAATAAAATAATTACTCACCTTAATCTTGTTTGCTCGTCTCCCTAACTCCCTATCTTCAATCTTATAGCTTCAAATATTCTTCAATCTTAACTGCTCTTATAAATTAATATTTCATTAAATATTAATTATAAATTAAATAAATCAAACTTTAACTTTAATTAACATATACCTTATCTTTTAAAGTGATTCACTCTTCGATCTCAAAACTGAATCTTCATTATTTCAATTATTTCCTGATTTCAAATACATACATACATACATCTATGGACATACATATATATATATATATATATATATAAACCCATAACTCACCTAAAAACTCTTCAAAAGCAAGCTAAGCTCAAACGAGGGATCTGTCGAACACGATTTTCTTCTCTTCTCGCACGCCCAAACCTTTTGTACCGCTCTTTCCCATATGTGCACGAGCAGCCTCCCTTTCTTCTTTTTTCCTTTGAGCTCGGTTCGCCCCAGCATAAGCACGTGCACGCGTTTTCCCTCCTCCTTCCTCTTCGCACCAATCCCTTCTCCTTCGATTTCAACACAGATGGTAAGTAGATCTCCTCCCCCTTTCTCCCTTCAGCTAGGGTTCGGCATGACACGCTTCCTTCTCTTCCTCTTCTTCTTTTCCTTTGGCTTCTTATTCTCCCTTATTTTTCTTCTTATCCCTTCTTCCTTCTTCTTCCCCTTCTTCCCCTTGTTCCTCCTACACCAAACGGCTAGGGCACACACGCTTTCCTTCCTCTGTCCTTCACTCTCTTTGTTTTGATCCGTTCAAATGAAAAGGCAGAATTGGCTTCAACTCCTAAAGACGAAACCATGACAATGTGTATCCCCTACTACCTATTTGATTTATTATTATTATTATTATTATTATTATTATTATTATTATTATTATTATTATTATTATTTTCAATTATTACAATCTCCCCTTATAAATTATTGCCTCTTTTGTAAATTTTGATCAAGTTAAATTGATCATCCTCAATAAAAAATTACAAAAAATTGATGAATTATTACTCTAAGCTTCAAGCATTGAATTACACACAAACATTTTTAGATTTTATAATTTCTTTAGGATTTTATTTATTAGAATTTAGGCGTGAAAAAGTTTGTGTTTTGGGGAGTTTTGGCCGTAAAATCTCCTCTTATTGTATTTTTTTTTATTAATGTGGCTATCATAAAAAAATTTAAATGATTTTGTTTAATCATTTTATACCCAATTGACTTTGTCAAGTTGCTTTCATAAAATAGTGTCAATGATTTAGAGTTCTAATTTGTTTGAAAATTTGACGCTTTATAGATCTTGCAGACTTTATCATTGTATATAAAGAATTAGCTTCACAGATTAAGCTCATCATTATATTTTAAAAATACAAAAATACCAAGAGTCTTCGTTTTAAAATCATTTTTTTCTTAAGATGAACCTTGAAAGTTGTATGTGAATGGAAGACAAATGATTTTGTAGGCTCTACGGTTGAGAGTATTCGACTATAAATTTGCTTGGCCAGAGAACTCTCGTTTGTTTGGTTTCACAATGGTTCATCAAGCAAGAACATTTTGTCAACACTTGTCACAAGGACACGAAGGATTGAACTTCAAAAGTTAAGGACTATCATTTTACCATATGGAGAGGGCCGCCTGCTTAAGAGCATAGATATATGTTGATGAATTTAATTTTTGAAAATAAAATGCAAAGTTTTAAAAGTGATTGCACACCTCTAAGGTCTCTTAAAGTCCTCACAAAATAAGGACAATCTATGGGTAGTGTCTTATCTACTATCTCACCTACTTTCTGACAATTTAATCCGAAACCTCACAATAAACTCCCTCATCTCATTCAATTCTTTCTTTTCGAGGGAGGTCGGGGCATTCAAATTTCTGGAGCCCATGGTAATAAATCAAATATTTCCATCCTGCAAGAGAAATTTGGATAAGCAACATTTTTAATTAAATAGCCATGTGCAATATTTTCTAAGTATCGGCCATTAACTAGTGGCATTAATCATTAGCTATTCAAATTAATGAGCAAATAGGCTTCACTTTAATATGCATATTCAATTACGAAAAAGCCTTCCCAATTGAGCCCAATTCTTCAATTGGTAGCAATTAACCTTCTCAGCACTAAGAGATTCTCCCTCTTGATATATGACATACCATGCAATCAAAATACCTAAACATATATTCTTGACAAATCTCCAAATTTTGTCGGGCTTTTTAACTTCATCAAGTATGCTGAGCTCTTTCATTCATACATGAGTGTTCAGCACCTAAGTGAATTCATATTGGATGGCTACCTGAAGTGATAAAAATAAATTTCAAGTGATAAAATCATTTCAGCTCCAAACACTAAGGCCTACAGAGATGCTTTAGTTGGTGTCATTTAGGTTTAAGACATAACAACGTGTATAATTATATTCTGTTTAATTAACTCATTTTCTCTCAAGTCTTATATGTTTGCTCTAAACAAAGTAATTTTAGATTTGAAAAAAATAAGTATGTGTGTATCACATGGCCCTTGATGGCAAACTGATTTATGTATGCATGCCTTCAAGACTATTATAGAACTTAAGCTAAAAGTGAAACATGATCATAAAATAATATACAGAGATGATAAATTATATTAGGAAATTTACATAGATACCCACACAATTATTATGAATTTACATATCTAACACCTAAAATTTGGTAATTACATTTATAACATCGTGGTGGTATAAATTTATGCATAAAAAGGTGCACTTGACTTTTAAAAAGTTAGCAAAATTGGTATTTTTGATGTGATGTTAAAAAATTGAGCATTATGAACGTAAACATAAAAAATTTAGGTGGTAGATATATAAATACATAAGAATTGTGTTATGTATGTAGTAAATGCCCCAATATGTTAAGGAATCAAAGTTGAGAATCATTAAGCAAGAACAAACAAATTGCATCCAATACAACGATTCATTGTATAAGATATGTTGGGATGAACACGTATGTTGATTATCAAGTTGTAACACGCTCCAACACCTTATTTCTATAAGAAAATATTGGCGATCAAATTTGCACAAAATAGCAAAAGAACGGAAACAATAGCCTTACCGAGGCTAGAAAAACCTTAGCAGCGGCCATAAAATCCTCCGTCTTTCCTCCCGTGCACGATCCTATGTACACCCTATCAATTTTAACATCTCTACATTCTCTTGCTAGACCACGATTATCGGGTGAATGCGGCTATCATAGAAGAAGAAACATTAAGGATTCAACAGTTTTCATCAGATATGAGAAAGCAAATAAGAATGCAAAAGAGAATAATAAAATTTATTTAATAATGTATTCACAGACCTTTGCAACCAATGGTTCCAATTTTGAGACATCAAATTTGTAATCTTGAATGAACCTACAGCGCAAGATTCACATGCTCATCAACAATTACGACGGTGGTAATGCTCAAAATTTAGGGAAATTTACTTGCATACCATGCAATTCATATGAATTCACATATTTAACACAAAGTTTGATATTTATATTAATAACATGTTGATATTAACAAACTATACAAGAAAAAGCGTATTTCATTTTTAAAAAGTTAGTGATGGCGATAATTTTGATGTGATATTAAAGATTTGAGCGTAGTGTATGTAAATATGAAAGTTTAGATGTTGTATAAGTAAATATATAAGAATTATGTGGCATGTTTGTAAATGTCCTAAAAATATAACAGTAAGATAAAGTCCGTCGTGTAATTAAAGTACTCACCACACATCTACCATGAAGAAAATCAATTTATACAAATTTCATAATCAAAGTAGTTGCTTGTTGAACAACAATCATAAGGATTAAATGGAGATTAATGATCCATGAAGTCAACCCCAAACAATATGATAATTGGATAAAGATTAACTACAAGGGAACAGGAGAAGCCAATTCAACGGAATTTAGAAACAATCGGATTTTAAATGAAAAAATATATATTTATATTAACCTGGCATTTTCATCACTATACACAGGTTGATATTCCACAGAAGTCTTATCCTGCATATAAAAAAGTTGAATTGGTCAGTACGAAAATTAGAGCTGAGCGGCGGTATCAAAATTTGACTCGACGTGCCAACTCTACACGAAATCAACTCAAAATCTGGGTTCGGGTTGACCCGATTAATTTTTGGGTAGGATATGAGTTAAAAATCGTAGCCTGTTTAATTTTTCGAGTCCGTTTCAAGTTGACCCATCAACCCGAAATTGACCTAAAATTGAGATGTCAACCCAAAATCAATCCGTCGGCGCAAAATTGATCCAAGATTGACTCAAAATATACCCAAATTTGACCCGAATAGTTATGTTTTATGTTAAATGGATTATGTATGTCGGGTTCGTGTCAGTGAGTTGAAGACAAGTTGGGTTCGTGTTAGACTTTTTGACCACTTTAATATTTGGGTCGGATTATCAAGCAGACTGGAGTCGTGCCAATTTTGAATCAGCCCCGAACTCGACCCACAACCTCAATTTGACACACCTAGAACTAAGGAAATGTCATTTCTCATTTGATTCTAATCAAGCGAATTTGAAGCATGGAAGGAACTTTCAAGGCGTAAAACCGTTAAACTCACTTACCTCAAGATATTTGAACGTAGTTTTATCTGCAGGGACAACCCCATTCTTTCCCCCGGCTTCTACGACCATGTTGCATAATGTCATCCTCTCTTCCATCTGTGTGGCACAAAACATCAAATTACAATTGGAAGTTTTGCATGCATATCCCTCAATTCTTATGTATTTATATATCTAACACCTAAACTTTAATTTTTGCATACATGCCAACTTATGCAGAAAAAGATGTCTTTCACTATGTAAAAGTTAAATGGTGGCATTTTTTATGTGATATAAAAGACTTCGGTGGTATAAATGTAAAATGTAATACTTTGGTGTTAGATATGCAAAAATATAAGAATTGTGTGGTATGTATGTTAATGCCTCATTTCAATAATCCAAAAAAGACATGGTAAGAGTAATGTAACTCATGGATCTTACACTCAAGCTTTCAACAGTCGAACCAAGGAATTCCATAGACTTGTATCTCGCGCCAGCTACAGTTATTTCGCCAATTATCTTCATGGTAACATTCAAAGAAAATACTCTCAGATATACAGTATAAACTTAAAAACAAAATAATAATAATAATAATAATAATAGAGAAACTCCAATCAAAAAGCAGGAAAAGGTATTTAGTCAACAAATAAATAACGTTGATAAAAGAAATGTTAAAAAGTAAAACTTACTTGCAAAATCAAATCCTTAGCTAGCAAATAACTTGGCATTTCTCCATCCAATGTGAATCTCAATGTAGGAGGCACCTACAATTTCACATAAAACAACTCACGCATACAGAATAATCCCAAAGCACATGCTCTAGAGGATTGAAAAAAGAGAAACCATAATAAAACATTTAAACAATAATGATTTCCCATCGAGCATGACAAGCATTAATATTATTATAAAGAGCCATTTACATACATATCACCCAATTCCTATGTATTTACATATGCAACACCTAAACTTTACATTTCACATTTATACCTCACAAATCTTTCAAATCACAACAGCAATAGCACTATTTTAACTTTTAAAAAGTAAAATAAACTTTCGCATGCATAGACAAAGTGGCATGTATGTTAAAATCAAAATTTACGTGTTAGATACGTAATACATAAGAACTGAGTGATAAGTATGCAAATTTTCCTATTTTAAAATCTGACATTAACTTTGAAATCCGTGGCACAGCCTCACGGTACCAGTTGCTTTATATCATGAATTTTCAAACATATAAATGAAACTATAATCTTCCCTTTATAAGTAATAGCAAGTAGATAAAAAACGCATTTAAGAAATGGGGCATTTCATACATGCCACCCAATTCTTATATATTTACATATGGAACATCAAAATTTTATATTTTAAGTTTATACCACTCAAATCTTTCATATCACATCAAAAGATACCACCATTATAACTTTAAAAAAGTAAAATATACCGTTTCATGCATAGGTAAGATGGCAGGCATGTATGTAAAAATTTGTTGGATATGTAACTACGTAGGAATTGAGTGGTATGCATGTAAATCTTGCTTTACAGATAAAGAGTTACCAATACACTCCTAGATAATAGATACTAGCACAAAAATCAAATCTGAAGTTATTTGTCAGCGTCTAAACATAGAGGACAGCCACATTCAATTACTTTGGGTATATGCAATTGGAACGTACACGTGACAATTTGCTCGTAGAAAACTCATAAACAACGGCTAATTCGTGCATGCAAAAATATCCATAGGAAACTCCACATAAAGTAATATATCTGATACGTCATCAATAAGTTTCCATCATCCAACACAAATCTCGAGGCATGACATGAATCTCAAGGCACCTTTTTGAGCAAAAAGCATTCAAACTTCAATCGAGGCCCCGTTTGGGGCAGCTTATAATTGATAGCGACGTTTTCAAAACGCCGTCGTACCGTTTGTTTCGTGCGTTGAGGGAGCTAAATGAAAAACGCTCTTTTTATGTCTTTAATGGAGAAATGTTGGAGTATTTTTCCCCCATGCCCTTTTGTCCGTCTCTAGCTCGACGCTTCTCACCCTCGCCTCTCCTCTTGCCCTCTCCTTAAAGAAGCATAAGCAACAGTCGAAGCCATGGCGCTTTCACTGGCTCCAATCGCTTCCTTCGCCCTTCTTACTCAAGCCAGCAAACCAATGTGGAGAAGAAGCCCTTTCTCTCTCCCAGTTTCGCCTTATTTTTTTTCGGTACGCTCTCACCATTTGTTTCGGGTTCCATTCTTTCAGTGATTGTCGAGGATAGCGGATGATCTATTTGTTTTGGTATGGCTCTATTATGGAGCACATTGATCAATAATTTTCCCTTATTTATTGTTTTGTTTTATGTGATTTCTCTGTTACAAACTTATTCTGTTGACATGTCTGCTGATCTGAGATTTCTTTTTCTTTTGATTATTTAAATTGAAATGAGCCTAATTTTGAATTTGAGGTGATTGTATTTGTTTGTCACTGATCAGATCGCTGCATGAATTTTCTCTAACATATACTATAATTGTTTATAACTAATGACTATGCAATAAGTTTAAGGGGCTCTATGGCAAAGGATTTACGCTGTGATTTAACGAGGATTTAATCTAAATCCTGCCAAATAGTCAATTTAGGACAAGTTAAATTCTGAGATATGGTAAATCCTAAATTACAGTCAATACCGTAAATAGAGCATTTTCTCTATGTCAAATTTATTGAACCTCAAAAAAAAGGTGTTGATACAATTTTGAACTAGATATCACATATTATTTTATAACTTGGAAGAATATTCGTTGTAATTATATTTTTGTAAGTAATATGTATGCAAATTTAACACTACTGCTTGCCTCTTTTTAATTTCTACCTACTACCTACAATTGAAAATAATTTTACGGAGAAATAGAAGTTGCAACAAAAGACTTCAATCCTTTTAGTCCAATAAAACACCAAAAATATGTTCTATTTATTCATAATTTCAAGCTTGTATTTATTCTTAAATGAGACGGGTAACATATTTATTCTAATATTTCTAAATATTTAATTTCAAGCATTCTTGAAAGAAAAATTATGAACCACCCATACAGCAAAGCCAAAGTAAAATTATGATAGACCATATCAACATAAAATATCCTACTTTAATGAGCTCTTGTGGGTTTAGCAGCAAAAATAATTAAGCCACAAACCAAACTGCTAGACAGTTTATCCAGACCAAGGGCAGAATTTTCATTTTTTCAGAAACAGTTGCAAATCAGTTGTTTTTCAAACGCACAAACCAAACAACCAACCAGCTTATCCAGATCAGCTGTTGATCAGCAGCTTATCAGAATAAGCTGCTTATTTGAATAAGTTGAATAAGTTGCAGCTGCCCCAAATAGACCCTAAGAGTCATCCAAAACTTTGATTTCAGCAAACATACAGTCAAACTGATGGCTCGACGAGACGGATTCAACGTTACCAAAATTGGCTCAATTTGAGCCAAGCCAAACCCAGATCAAGTCATTAAACTACTTTTGGGAGCTTTCCAGACATAATTAGAATGTCAAATAGATTTTGAATCTTGCAAACTTATTGTCAAATTAAACTTCTTGACAAGACGAATATAACAAACCTGAGATCACTCAATTTCAACATCATTAAGGCACTCAAATGTCCATCAAATGTCGTCTGATCAAGGGGATCTCTCTAGGCCGTCCAATCAAGAGTGACCTAAATTCATTATTTGTAATTTAAACTCTACAAATAGAACCATATCCTCCTCTTAATAAGCGAAAGGCCAAAGCCTGGAAAAGAGGGAGGCCAAAGCATGGTGAAGAGGGCTCTAAAGTCCAGGATCATGCACCGACAATTTGGAGTGCATCTCCCACTCTTGCAGCCGACAATCACTATCGACCATTGTCAACCTCCTGCTCTTACAACTGCCAACAACCGTTGATCACTATTGGCCTCCTGTAACTACAGCCACCGTCGACCATCAACGGCCTCTCACTCTTGCATAACTCAGCCAGGCATCGTCGCCTCCTCTTACAACTTCAGTCGTCGCCACCCTCCGGTTAATGTTGGTCGCTACCTCCCTCCGTCCAACTCAGGTCACCGTCTCCGGCCAACTCCAACCTCCACCCGTCGGTCACTGGCGACCATTATCAGTTGCCACATGCTCCTTGCAGCAAATTTCCTTGTGAAGTCGCCATGTGCCCTGTGAAATCCCAAAGCACGTTGTGGAACAGTGAAACACCCCACAAATTGTGTAACAACGTACCCCTAATACGGGGTAATGATGTCTCCCGAAGACAGTGTAACAACGCACTCAATATACAGTGCAACGACACACAACAATGACGTTGTAACAATGCACCCCGGATACGATGCAATGACACCTTCGAAAAACAATGTAACAATGAACAATGGCTTTCTCCAAACACCTAAAACACCCTCCTTGCAACTCTCGACACTGACCCTTACAGCCTATGAACGTCGTCACAGCTCACCACTACGACTTACCTGATCAAATACGACCTACATGGTCCATAACACGTGCAGCTTTCAACTCTCACCTCTGCGGCTTACGAAGGTCATTAAAGGTCACCACTACGGCATGCACGACCAACTATGACCTACGTGATCCACAGCTTGTATAGCTCTCGACTCCGGGCTTTTCAGCAACAGACGTCACAACAGCTCACCACTACGGTCTACGCGACCAACTACGACCCATATAGTCTACAACTCATGTAGCTCTCGACTCAGACATAGCTGACCACTACGAGTAACATGATTATCTACGACCTACGTGGCGCACAGCCAGCGCAACTCTCCAGCTTGCAGATGTCATCGAACTCACCACTACGGTTTATGCAACTAACTACGACCTACGTAGTCTACAGCTTGCTCAACTCCTGACTCCGGCCCCTGCAGCCTACGGACATCATCGCAGCTTAACATTACGGCTTATGTGGCTCAGAGCTCCTCAAGCTTCCCACAACGTCTTTTGTGTCTAACTAACGCTTTTGTGGCAACCATCTGTGGCCCATAAAACCAACAGTTACATGGATTTCAACTACAGCATGTACGACAAACTGACGCCATAGTCACCGTCTACAACATTCACGGCAAACTGCTGCCTCTATAGTGCAAACAACTACGGCCCTTACAACCTAATATTACCAAGAGTTACATTCAATACAATCAGACTACGACTATTATTGATGAACCACCATTGCACATTTACAATGACCATTTTTGTAATTTCATCCTCTCTAATTTAGGAGAAGAGTGAACACATGTAATCACTATTTATAGTAAATTATTTCAACTATGCTAGGTCTTATGATTTTTTTCCCCTTTACAGGGTTTTCCACATAAAACTTATGGCATTCCTACCGATTACTTTTTTTCATCTGAGTGTGTGATGGACTTTTGTAGAATACTAAGACACTAAATAACCACTCTGTCACGAGAACCTTCCGACACGCATAAATATATAACACTTAAACTTTGCTTTTTACATTTAAACCACTCAAATTTTTTTTCATATCACATCAAAAATACTTTCATATCACATCAAAAATACCACTATTTTAAATTTTAAAAAAGTAAAATACACATCTTCATGCATACGTAAGGTGGCAAACATGTAAAAATTGAAGTTTAGGTGTTAGATATGTAAATACATTAGAATTGAGAGGTGTATATGTAAATCTTCCAAAATAATAAATGGAAATTTACATACATACACATAATTCTTATTTATTTACATATCCAGCACTCAAAGTTTAATAAGTACACTTCTAACAACTTGGCATCATAAACATATTCATGAAAAGGTAAATCTCTCCTTTAAAAAGAAAGTGATTCATATTTTTATAAGACTTGAGTGGTATGCATGTAAATATGCATGTTAGATGTAAATAAATAGGAATTGTACGGTATGGATGTAAATACCCCAACAAAAAATTGTAGAGTGGCTCATCACATTGTAACGGTATAACATAAATGTCATAAAGAAAACATTTATAGACCTTTAGTAGAAGCTTTCCAGCGCCCATGACAAAGCCTGCATCAGTGTTCCCAATTCCACTCGAAAATTGACCAAAAGCACCAGCCGTACAAGTGTGTGAATCTGTACCGAGCAAAACCTACTTCCAAATTACAAAAATATATTAGAATACCTAAAATAATTGGATAAAATTATACTCGATGAAAAATGGTAAGAACCTCGCCGGGTCTACAATGACCCTCTTGAGCAAGAGCAACATGGCAAACACCTTTATAATCTGGATTAGCCTGACAAATTATAATAGAGAATTATGCTTAAAAGTCTTTAATAAAATGAATTCAAAAGAATAAAGAAGAAGAAACCATACCTTGAAATTCCCAATATCTTTAATATCATAGAAATATTTGATGTTTTGCTCCATACAGAAATCCCTCAGGATATCAACATTTCGGTTAGCACGCTCATCGCTTGTGAAAATGTAGTGATCTGGTATTATAACTATTTTTTCACGATCCCAAACCTGTGATTACATTAAGAAAAAAGTGTTATAAAATAGATGGAATCCTCAAATTTATACCTTTACAATTAAGCATTTAGATTTCTACATTCTTAAGGTCTTAAAGGCAACACTAGAAGCACTAATTGGTGGCAAAATGAGAACATAAGTATGAAGATAACAGTTCAAATTTGTGATTACAGAAAGTTGGGGGATGACTATCGCTTCATTGCTCCTTTACTTCCATGCAAGCAAATATTTGAAGATAAAAGAGAAAAAAAAAGTGTTGAGTATCAAAATGGTCCCCTGAATATTTTCATGAGGCTATACTAGTGCCAAAATCTATAAAAAATATCAAATTAGTCCTCAAATTCTTTTAATGGTGGCCAAAATAATCCTCTAAAGGACTAGTTCAACCCATATTAAAAGACTCTGGAAACTCAATTGATACTTTTATAAGCTCTATGAGTAAAATGACCGATGCAAAGAGTTAGAGGACCATTTTGACACTTCTTTAAAAAAAACAGCTCTTTAATCAATAATTAAATATTACAAAATAAATGAACATAAGAATACAAGGAAAAACTTATAAATAAATTAAAAGCTTCATAGAAAGCTTAAAAAAAAGATGACGAAGAATTAAATCATATGACAATTCTATATATAATATCAACAACATCTTTGCATCCAATAACCATTCCAAACAATTCCATAAAAAATAAAACATTCTATTGCTTTCAGAACAAAGAGCAAAAAAATCAAATGGACCAAACAAATTAAAAGCTTATAGAAAGCTTAAAAAAAAAAGATGAGGAAGGATTGAATGATATGACAATTCTAAATGAGATATCAAAATCATCTTTGCATCCAATAATCAAATAGAACATTATATTGCTTTCAGAACAAAGAGCTAGAAATTCAAATGGGTCATGCAATCCTATTACAAATGAAACATCATCATCAAAATTATCCCAACTATATTGACCCGATTATACGTAAAATGAAGATTCAATATTGGAGATTAATGCTTTATGAGCAGTGTCAAAACAACAAGGTTGTGTGAAAATCAAGTCACAACATAGTGCTATCTAAAATGTAGCTTAAAATATAAAAAAACAAATTATAAACATTTTATCAATTGCTTAATAACATAAGAGAAATATCCTATTGCAAAGATACATCAATGACATATAAACAAAATATGAAATTGTTTAAACGTTCATGAATGTTTATGAAAGAGAACTATATGGGAAAATAAAATCATTACAATGTAAATAACCATTAACTAAATTGCACTAAACTAAACCAGACATTTCAGCAACAATAAAAGAAAGATTTACATACATGCACACAACTCCCATAAATTTACATATCTACACCTAAACTATAATTTTTACATTAACACCACTTTACCCTTGCATCAAAAGGTGCATTTCACTTTTACAAAGTTAATGATAGTGGTGATTTTTAAGTGATAAGAAACATTTAAGTGTTAGAAATGTAAAATTAAGAAAACAAAATACTACTATAAAACCTTAGCATTCTCTCCAAATTCTCTCTTGAAGATTCCGATGGTTCCAGGACCACAGACATCATGGGTCATCAGAACATCCACATTCACCCAAACATTTTCTCCGGGTTCAAGATGCGACCTTTCAGAAGCCCTAGCTAGAATCTTCTCCGTCATCGTCATCGCGTGCTTCACCTACAGATTATCATGGAGGCAAAAAAGAAAAAAGTAGAGTTTTACTGCTGGAAACTAAAAGAAAACAAATAAATAGATGTGGTGTGTGTGTGGGTGGGGGGGGGGGAAGAATGAAACCAAACCGAGCCAGAGGCTGATAGAGAACGCTGAGGAGAACGGGAAGGTGCCATGACTGAGAGAATCTTATTTAAAGAGTGTTTCCTGCATCTATGCGCGACAAATGAAGTGGAAGAAGAGGAGATTAAACGGCCCAAATCGCACTGAAAAATAAAAAGAAGAAATAAAGGAGGAAATTAGCAGATGCTTCGTTTGATGATTGGACGAAGCAGGTACAAAGATAGGGCGGCAAGATCGGACCTTTTTACCGAAAAGAGAAGATCCGGTGGCCGTGATAGTTGAAGCCGCCATTAGTGAAAGCACCGAGCTTGACTGGTGTGGTGTTATCAATCGGTCAAAGGATTTTTTTTACCTCGGAATGGAGAAGAAGACCGCATGCCTAGCACAAGCCTATTATGTTTTTTATTAGGCAAACAAATCTGATCAACATGACGATGTTCGTGGGTGAGAGCTCGTAGCGCGGGTCCTGGTGGCTGTCGAAAATGGGATCTGCACCAAAAAGTAGAAACCTAATGGCATGTGGCATTCAAGTGGTTGATTTTTTTTATTTAGGTTTTCATGCGTCTAATTTTTCTGTTTTTTAGCTCCTTTTCTGTTTTTTAGCTCCAGCAGTACTGTTCCAGAAAGTAAAGTTACTTGAGGAAGTTGTCTATTTGTCTATTACAATTATGTGAGAATAGTTATGAGGTAGCTATTTGGGAAAAAAATGATTATTCTAACTCTATTTAGTAAAGTTGTTTAAATATAATTATAAGAGTCATATATTTGATATTTCAGAAGTAAAAATTTATTTCAAAATAAAACAAATGTTCAGATACACGACTTACATAATAATAAGTACCGAAAGTGCTAAATAAAAAAATAAATTAGAGTGTATCCAAATCAAAGTCGTCCTCATCAAGAATTCCTTTTAATGATACAAAATATTGTGATAAACTAAAAATTATCAATTGAACGTCCCAAAACTAAACTATTCTAGTATAATCTACCCTTGCTTCGACAGCCCTGGAAACACTCAACAAATTAAATAAAACCCTCAATCTGCACCGACTATATATACAACACCTTTCAAAATTCAATCTAAAATAGCAAAGAATAGTTCATTTCAAAACTCTAAGGGTCTGTTTGGGGCAGCTGCAGCTTATCCAGGACCGCTGCAGCTTATCTAGTTTCTGCTGATAAGCAGCTGATTCTGATAATCTGTTGATGAGCAGCTGATCCGGATAAGTTGTCTAACTATTTGGTTTGTGCGTATGAAAAACAGCTTATTCTGGGAAAATGACCATTCTGCCCCTGTTTTGAAAAAAAACTCAAACACAAATCTCCCCAGTAATTCCTACACGGCATTCACCAACAATAGCGAGATATCAAAACAACAAACAACCTACAATAATCAAACCAAAAGAAAGACCAAAGCAAATCACCAACCCTAAATCAGGCATCGATTCTTCCAACAGTAAATAAAATTTGCAGTAACTTCAAATTTGAACCAGGAACACATAAGAGGAAGATAACATAGCCTAGATTTACATGTTGCAACGAAGGGTAATAACTGTGCGCAAGATTCCTTGGAGCTTCAACCTGCGCTTCTGCCTCTCGTAACATCAATGGAGATCTGTGGTACGGCGGCACTGCGGAAGATGGAGGGAGCGGCTCTGTGGTACTGCGACACTGCAGAAGATGGAGTGCAGAAGATGGAGGGAGCGACTCTACGAACGAAGATAAAGAATCGTGAATGAAGATGGAGGGAGCGACACTAGGAGCGCCTCGACCATCGAAGGAGCGCCGAAGGACCGCCGAAGGAGTCCCGAATCGCGAACGAGGGAAAGGGTAGCGGAGTAATTGGGGGCTAAACGCGGCCGAAGAACGCGGATCGCGGGTCTAACCCCGCGATCCGCATGTAATGTAAAAAAGAAACAGAGTTTTGATAAACGCAGCTTCAACACGTGAAACAAACGGTGAGGTGTCGTTTTTCAAAACGCCGCCGCACTTATAAGCTTCCACAAACGGGCCCTAAATCAAAAAAGCGAAAAATAGAATAGATATTCAATTGAAACCTCACCTTCTCCTCCTTGGAATCAGCTACCCCACCTTCCATTAGCAGTATCTTCCTCATAGATAGCTTTATCATTGGATCTCTCCCCTCAGACATTCATTTACGTGCTCTAAACTTCATCTTCTACCTCGCGGCGAAGCCTCTTTGAGGGAGTGCAGACTGCTTCGAGGGCTTCCCAAGGGAGCACAGGGCAAGGAGGCCAAAACTGATCGATAACGCGAGGCGGTGGGGTCAATCCCACAGTCCGCGTTCCGCCTATTTTAACTGTGGGCAGCCGCAAACACAACATCTAAATGAGAAAGTTTTTCTCAGCTTCGTGTTTTGGGGCTGCGCTGCGCGAAATACGCGGCCCCAAACAGAGCCTTAGTAATATTCATATTTTTTATATATTTATATATTTAATATTTAAAATTATTTTTTATAGTACAATTTTTATTTTATTTTTTAAATAATGATAATCATTTTTATGATATGACCCATTTAAATATTTTAATTGTAAGAAATCATAATTTTGATAGTATATATCTGGTGTGTATTAATTGTGTTGGATTTATAGTAATATTTTCATGTCTTATACATCCTAAAAGAATTATTATGCATGAATCACCGAGCATTTCGAACATTAAACATTTCATATTCAAATTCAATATCATCTAGGACCTAGATTTCATCAAACTTATAAGCAAATTGAATGTCTCGACATGGCGAGCCCAATGAAGCATTAATTGTTTCGTTCTAAGCTCGATCAAGTTTAATTCAAATCATGTAAGCACAATTGGAGGCTTTGGATTGCAAGTGAAAGATAAAATGGATTCTAAATTTGGCGAGTTTATAGTCGAATCGAGTGTCCAATCGAGTCGAATCTAATAAGCATAAGCTCACTTGATTTAGAAACATTTAATTGTTCATTAAACACCATCCAATCAAATGGATCACTTTATGTCGTCCGATTGAGTAGTCTAGATTCATGTCATACTTACAAAGGATGTCACTCACAAACTCTATATATAGATTCTCACTTCCTTCATGAAAGAGGGACTTGGGACCTATACCTACAGGAGAAAGACAAACGAGCACTAAGCTCTTGAGGGTTTCGAAGCTTCACCACACCTAGATTGTCGATGACTTGTTGTAGTGTGTTACGTTGGGTTTTTTTTAATGAAAATAATTTAATCTAATATATATATATATATATTAAATTTTGAAAAATGAGGTTGTACATATATCATAGATTTAACAGTTTGAATAACCGAGTGCACTATTGCAAGTGCTACTTCATCTTGAAAGATAAGAATATTACTTGATAGGAGGACGTGAATAGGCGGATGGCTAGGTATTATAACAAACACATCTTGGAGAATACCTCCATTAGTGACCTCATATTAAAGAATGCCAACCCAACCATACAAGGATAAGTTGTGGGAAAGCTCGACCAAACGTGGATTGGGCCCTTCATCATCGACAAACGAGTTGATCCCGTAGCATACGAGTAGAAGACCTATACAGGAAAATGAGTCCCTCGGATGTGGAGCAAATATAAAAAAAAAATTTATCGTTAGATAATTTTTTATCTGATGAGTGTAAATGAAATTGTTATCATTCCAAACCTTGTATTTTGTTGTTAAATGAAAATTTTGATATTTCGCTAATTGTACACATGATTCCAGGTTTGGCCGACACTCAAAAAACTTGAGGAGTTTACATGAAGGATTATGAAAGTCTGATTGACACTCAAGAAACTTGAATCAACTAAATGGTGGTTCCACTTGAGAGACAAAACTAAGTTAAGGATTAGGTATATGGCTCGGTATTGTAACAAACACATCTTAGAGAAGACCTTTATTAGATACCTCACATTAAAGAATGCCAACCTAGCCACCCAAGGATAAGCTGTGGGAAAGCTTAACTAAATATGGATTGGGCCCTTCATCATTGACAAACGAGTTGCTCCCTTAACATACAAGCTAAAAAACTATACAGGAAAAGGAGTCCCTCAGATGTGGAGCGAATATGAAAAGAAATTTTATCATAAGATAATTTTTTATCTTATGAGTAAAAATGAATGTGTTATCATTACAAACCTTATATTTTATTGTTAATTACATGAAATTTTTATAACTAATATCGCTATTTGTACGCATGATCCCAATTATGGATAAAACTAAAAAAAAAACTTAAGGAATTTACACAAGGGATTATGAAAGTCTGATTGACACTCGAGAAACTTGAATCGACTCGCAAACGTTGGTTCCACTCGAGCGATAAAACTGAATAAGGGATGAGCTCAGTTTCAACCATTTGACCATAATAATCTTTTTTCAAAGGATTTTAGTAAGAAACTAGAGCATCAGTGTGCCTAAAACCCAACCCTGTATAGAAGATACCGACAAGGCTACCAAAAGAGGACAACTCTTAGTCCAACCAAAATGACTGACAAGTGGACATACAAAAGATAACGCTAAAAATTCTTAAATTGTAATACATATAAGCAAATTAAATTTTTACGAGAGTCATTAGCAGCCAAAATTTAACACCACAAAAAGATTTCTAATCAAACGAGTTGAACACACACACACACACACACACACACACACATGATGAATATTATTTTAAAACTTTAATTGACTACAAGGCTACATAGATTTATAATCAATTAAAATTAATATTAAAAATAGAATAAATATATATTAAATTCTATTTAAATTAATATTTTAATAAAATAATAAGATTTAAATCTCGCCCCTACCTTTAACATCCAATGATTGTTTGATTAGGGTTATCAAAACGCCTCATTGTTCGCAAACAGCTCATGGTCGGCTCCCCAAGAAAACGAGCTAAACACGAGCCGAGCCAGCGCTTGCTCAAACTCGGCTTG